GGCGCATCTCGCTGAAGGACTCTGTCTTTGCACATCTGGGTGCGAGAGCAACTCCGCGTAGACGGCGGGGGTTACAGAGACTGCGACGACAACAACGACTTCACTGAAACCTTTCCCCGGTTGACATCTTTTAGGAGAGATGAGGAAAGCGCAGGTGGAAGAGCGACGAGTAATTCCTCTTGCCACCCTTAATACAGCAGCTCAGGCAAGAGCACATGGCGCAAAAGGGTCAACATGTTGTTCGTCTATCCAGCGGCTAGAGCGAGTTGATCGCCAGCGGCACCACGCCGGAGGGCACTACTTCGTCCTCCGCCTCCTCCGCCACCTCCGTCTGCCTTGACAACGCCTGCTCTGACACCCTGGAGCGCGGAAGCTGTCTTCAAAGAGATTTGCAGAGAGCTCGCGGACAGCTGCAGAACGGCGACGGGCATCCACGGCGAAACCCGTGACGGTAGCATCGGATCCGGCAGCCTGCCTCGGCGACTCTGGGCCGATCAGCACGCGTCGCGGGAAAAACTGTGACCGAGATCCGGGCACCCGAGGGGCTCCACCGTGATAAACTGGCGAAACAAAAATAATCCTGGCGAAGGACCCAACCATGTACAGTTGTGAGTAACGCCAGTTGTGGGTACCGACGTCGGTGAACCTCTCTGGGGTCACGACGCGTGCGAGGGGGTGTGCCACAATTGACACGGGTACGCCATGCGGACGCTGCCACCAGAGCCGTCGGTGGAGCCCCATGTGAGGCCGCGGAACGTGTGAGGGGTGCGCCCGAATGCAGGGTGGAATCGCGTGCGGGCGCTGCCACTACTAGGGCCTTCGGTGGAGCTTCCTATGGGGCCACAAACGTGTAAGGGGTGCGCCGAAATGCAGGTGGAACTGCATGCGGGCGCTGCCACTGGGGCCTCCGGTGGAGCACCCTGTGGGGCCACGAAACACTTAAGGGGTGCGCCGAAATGGAGGTGGAACTGCATGCGGACCCTGCCACTAAGGCCTTCGGCGGAGCACCCTATGGGGCAACGAAACATGTGAGGGGTACGCCGAAGTGGAGGCAGAACTGCATGCGGACCCTTCCACTGGGGCCTTCGGCGGAGCACCCCATGGGGCCACGAAACGTGGGCGGGGTGTGCCGAAATATAGGTGGAACTGCATGCGGACCCTGCCACTGAGGCCTTCGGCGGAGCACACTATGGGGCCGCAGACCGTGTGAGAAGTACGCCGAAATGGAGGTGGAACTGCATGCGGACCCTGCCACTGGTGCCTTGGACGGAACGCCCTATGGGGCAACGAAACGTGCGAGGGGTGCGCCCGAACTGGAGGTGGAACTGCATGCGGACCCTGCCACTGGGGCCTTCGGCGGAGCACCCTGTGGGGCCGCCAAACGTGTGAGTGGTGCGCCGAACTGGAGGTGGAACTGCATGCGGACCCTGCCACTGGGGCCTTCGGTGGAGCACCCTATGGGGTCACGAAACGTGTAAGGGGTGCGCCGAAATGGAGGTGGCACTGCATGCGGACCCTGCCTCTGGGGCCTTCGGCGGAGCACCCCATGGGGCCACGAAACGTGTGCGGGGTGTGCCGAAATATAGGTGGAACTGCATGCGGACCCTGCCACTGAGGCCTTCGGCGGAGCACCCTATGGGGCTGCAGACCGTGTGAGAAGTACGCCGAAATGGAGGTGGAACTGCATGCGGACCCTGCCACTGGTGCCTTGGGCGGAACGCCCTATGGGGCAACGAAACGTGCTAGGGGTGCGCAGAAACGGAGGTGGAACTGCATGCGGGCGCTACCACTGGGACCTTCGGTGGAGCACCCTATGGGGCCAGGAAACGAATAAGGGGTGCGCCGAAATGGAGGTGGAACTGCATGCGGACCCTGCCACTGGGGCCTTCGGTGGAGCACCCTATGGGGCCACGAAACGTGCGGACCCTGCCACTGGGGCCTTCGGCGGAGCACCCTGTGGGGCCACCAAACGCGTGAGGGGTGCGCCGAACTGGAGGTGGAACTGCATGCGGACCCTGCCACTTGGGTCTTCGGTGGAGCTCCCTATGGGGCCACGAAACGTGTGCGGGGTGCGCCAGACTGGAGGTGACACTGCATGCGGACCCTGCCACTGGGGCCTTCGGTGGAGCACACTTTGGGGCCACGAAACATGTAAGGGGTGCGCCGAACCGCATGCGGACCCTGCCACTGCGACCTTCGGCGGAGCACCCTATGGGGCCACGAAACGTGTAAGGGGGTCGCCGAAATGGAGGTGGAACTGCATGCGGACCCTGCCACTGGGACCTTCGGTGGAGCTCCCTGATGGGGCCACGAAGCGTGTGATGGGTGCGCCGAAATGGGCATGCGAGAGAGTAAAGGCAGGGATGGGAGGAGGGAGGATGGGGAGGAGCTCGGGAGGTGAGGTGAGGTGAGACGCGGGGCGCTGCCTCTTCAAAACGAGGACCCAGCACCACAGGATGGTTAAGAACTACTAACCTAAATCAGATTCCTCCTCCGTGGCACTCATGGCGCCCACTGCTGGCAGGGAGAGGGAATTTGAGCAGCACCTGGAGGGCCGAGACAGGCAAACCACCTGAGACATCCCCACGGTTTGGGCGGGAATCCTGGAGTGTCCCCACCCCCTGGCGGCTGCCCCTTGGGGTGCCCGAGCGCCACGCCTGCTGCATCGCGGTGAGCAGTGGGACCACCAAAGAGAAGAGTCTGAGGGGCAGAGACAAACAAGCCGCCTGACACATCCTCGCAATCCGGGCGCGAATCCTGGAGTGTCCCCCACCAGGGTGCCACGCCTGCTGCATCGCGGTGAGCAGAGCTGACCACCGCGAGAGAGAAAGAGTCTGTGAGCGTGCGCGAATCTGAGTGGGGCGGAGTGTGAATGAGTCTTCACGTGACTGAGCCTGAGTGTGAGCGAGTCCGAATGAGAAAACGTTATGACTGAGACCGGGCGGGGAAGAGTGACGCTGAGCATGAATGGGTCGGAGTATGAGTGGTTCCAAGGACGAGCGAATCTGAGTGTGATGTGTGCTGTGACTGAGTCTGGGTGAGGGAGAGCGACTCCGAGTGATTCCGTGTATGAGCTAGTCTAAGTGTGATGTGAGTGAGGGGGATGAGGAGTGATGTGAGTATGAGCTGTGTGAAAAAGATCCGTATGTGAATGTGTGAGTGATCTGAAGGAGGAAAAGGAGGAGGAGAGAGTGAGGGAAGGTCGGGAGGCGTCTAAGTAATGGCAAGAAAACCATCTCATAATTCGGGGAACACGCAAACCGCCTGAGACATCAACACAATCTGGGCGCGAATCATAGTGTCCTGACCCTTGGCGGCTTCCCTTTGGGGTGCCCGAGTGCCACGCCTGCTATGTAGCAGTGAGCAGTGGACCACCAAAGAGACAAGTCTGGGGGGCCAAAACAGGCAAACCGCCTGAAAAGTCCCCACACTCTGGGCGCGAATCCGGGAGTGTCTCCGCCCTGGGAGCCCCCTCCCCCTTCCCTCCCCCACCGGGGATGCCCTACCGCCACGCCAGAAGAATGAACTCTGAGGCTGAGTGTGAGTGATTCTGAGTATGAGGTATGAGTGAGTCCGAGTGAGGCCGTGATGCCACTGAGTCTAAGTGTATGAGTGTGAGTGATTCCGAGTATGAGTGAGTCTGGAAATGACGTGAGGGACGAAGAGGAGTGATGTGAGTATGAGTTGGGTGTGAATAATCTGAGTACGAAACGGTGAAACGAGGATCGGAGTATGTGGAAGATCTGAGTGAGGAAGAGGAGCGGAGGAGGAGGAAGAAGAGGAAGAGGAGGAAGAGGATAAGACTATGCGAGTGAGAGGAAGATGAGGAGACAGGAAGAGATGCAGAGGCGTCTGAGTAATCCGCCGGCCCCCTTGTGGGGCCACCAGGCTGTAGGACGAAGCTTCGCAGTTTCCTGTACCAGTTGCAGCTTCCAGTTTCCACTGTTACAGTTCTGTTTCTTGCTGCTTACTGTTCCTTGTTGACTTCTTGCTGCTTACTGTTCCTTGTTGATGGACCGCGCGAGGGGAGAGGCCCAAAACGGGCATTTTTACCACGACCAAAACGTTTGCTCTGAATTGCTGGGGTGGTAAAAATTTACACCCCTCACCCAGATCGGCGGGGTCAGGGTCCTAAAACACAATGGATTTGCCACATGTCTTAAATTCCGTGGCACCCCTCACCCAGATCGGCGGGGTCAGGGTCCAAAAACAGAAAGGATTTGATACATTTCTGAAATTTGCTGGCACCCCTCATGCAGATCAGCGGGGTCAGGGTCCAAAAACACATGGAATTTGCCACATGTTTCAAATTCGGCGGCACCCCTCACGCAGATCGGCGGGGTCAGGCTTCAAAAATACATTGGATGTGCCACATGTCTGACATTCGGTAGCACCCCTCACGGAGATCGGCGGGGTCAGGGTCCAAAAACACATAGGATTTGCCACATTTCTGAAATTCGCTGGCACCCCTCACGCAGATCGGCGGGGTCAGGATCCAAAAGCACAAGGGATTTGCCACATGTCTGAAATTCGGTGACACCCCTCACGCAGATCGGCAGGGTCAGGGTCCAAAAACACATGGGATTTGCCACATTTCTCAAATTCGGCGGCACCCCTCACGCAGATCGGCGGGGTCAGGGTCTAAAAATAAAAGGGATTTGCCATATTTCTGAAAGTCGGCGGCACCCCTGCGGCAGATCCGTAGGGTCAGGGTCCAAAAACACAATGGATTTGCTACAGTTCTCAAATTCGGCGGCACCCGTGACGCAGATGCGTAGGGTCACGTAGGGTCAGGGTCGAAACACAAACAGGCCCCGACACTGCTTCACGGCGGCGCCCAGACCTCATGATTTAGCTTTTGCATCTCCCATTATCCGAAACAGGGGGCTGGCGGCATGGGGCGAAGCCCTTACGGATAACAAGATCCCCATCTCAAGATATGGAAGAAAAAAACAGGCATTGAAGCGGGACAGCGCTTCCTGAATGAATTATTACGAAATCTAAACTAAGCCGCTACTGGAACGTGCCAGACCTGGCGGTCAGGGCTCCCTCCCCCCCCTGCGGGGCTGTTCTGGTGTCACTCTGTCAGCCACTGTTACACCCTCCATCGAAACGCCTTTTCAGAGAGAAGCAGCACAAGCAGAAACTGTCGAAGACCCATGTGATTTTTTCTTCACGGGGGGTCCAGCCCAGATCCAAGAAATCCGCACGGGCCTTCGAGCACTTCTGCTTGTCGTCCTTCGCCTCCGCACACCGCACGCTTCTAAGCTTGCCCCGCCTCGTGCCCAAGGCTCCCTCCCTATTGCGGCTCCCCGGCGCCAAGGGCTGGCATTTCCTGCCGTTGGACTGGTCCATGCACCGGCGCAACCCGTAGATGCAGTCCTGGTCGTGGATGCAGCTCATCCCCACCTGAGCGGCGAGGAGCACATTGGTCACCCAGAGATCCGATGTGTTGTCACGCGGGGTCCCCGAGACCCGAGACCCCACCCCCTGGCCCAGGGCCACCTTTCCATCCCGAGCCTCTTCTTGTTCTGTTGCTGACCGTCCCCGGGACCAGCGACGGCCCCCAGGGGTCGACGACGGCGCGAAGGGTTCCACGTAATGCTTCTCTCACGCCTGGTGAAGGAGCCCAGCCCTCCAAACTCGGTATGTAGCCCACTTTGGCCCCCCATCGTGGCTCCGCACCGTGGCTGTGTAAAGCTATGCAGGGTCTTCTGCCGCAGCGGTGCCATTTGTTCAACACAGTGAACAGAGAAACGAAAACGGCATAAACATAAAACATACTCCGAACTTCTTTTTAATCAACCGGGGGGGGACACCGGTGAAAACGCTGCGCGGCCAACCCCCCCTAGCACCACCCCCGCGCCCCAGCGGGGAAGGGAACGAACCCCAGACCCCCCCTGGCACCACCGCGGACGCGCCGCGGCCAACCCCCCCGGGCACTCCAAGGGGGGGGCGATTATTAAGCGATCCAGAGTCAGTGTAACCTTTTCTGAGGTCCGCCAGGGAGGCCGAATGCCGTTCAACGCCGATCCCGGAAGTCCGCTTGGAGGCCTGGGGTATGTTCAGAGACGCGGCCCCCTCGCGCGGCGGGTCCCGCGGGCCGCCGGACGTAACACGCGCGTCGCGGCGCAAACGGGGCGTCCACGTGGACGCGGCCCTCGGCGGGCATCTTGCGCGCGGGTGCCCGCGCGCTCAACGAAGCTCGCGTAGCCTCGTCTCTATCAGGGGGGTGCAGTGACAGAGCTCGTGCCCGAAAATCTGCCCGTGTGGCCGAAACGGGCGCCCGAAATTGTCCGACCGCGCCCGAGTGTGACCGAAAAGTGTAGTTCGAAGACAAGACGAGTTGCGGTTTCAATCACAAATCTGGTCACACTGTTTTCAACCGCAATTTCGGGCACGTCTTCGGTCACACCGTTTTGGCTGATAGGGGCCAGGCGCCATGACGAAGCATTCCCCCGCGCCCCTCTCACCAGAGCACCAGCAGTTATGGGCGAGTGCGGTAGGCTCGCGCGAGCAGCGACCTGGCTCGCGGCGCTCTTGGACTCCCTGCAGGCCTGGAGGTGCCCGCGCCTTGCTCAGAGAGGCGGCCCGAGAGGCCCCGACCTGGCCTCCGAGACGGCCTCAAAGCGGCTCAAAGACGGCCCAGGGACCGCCCAAAGGCCGATGATCCTCAGAAAGCGCGTTAGCACCAACGTGTGCTTCTCCAACGAAGCCCCTCAATACGAGCAGGCGGTGTAACGAGGGCCGAGGCAGGCTGCGTGCACCTGTTGGAGCGGAACAGGTCAAACACGCTGTGCTAACACACGTCCTAAGGATCGATCGAACAGACAGCCCCAATATGCCGCCACGGCCACGAGACCTTCCAAAACGGCCCATCAAGACACCCGAAGGGACGCCAAGACGGCCTCAAGCTTCACGAGGCCCCACGAGTGCCCCAAGGAAGCCCCAAGGAGGCCCCAGCAATGCCCCCAAAACGGCCGTGAGACGGCCTCAGGGTGGGCCATACCAAAGAATATGGTCACTGACTGGGAAAGCCAGAAACAGGGCAAGTGAAGAAAGCTATGCTTTAGCACAGGGATTGGAAGCGCCACATCGCCTGCGAATGGCATGGTGGGGAGGGCCCGCGGCCCGCCTTGTGGCGGTACCTGCACACCCAGTTCGACCATGTGCTCAGAGGGGCCGGATCCCACCACGTCGCCTTGCGGCGGAAGGAGGGGGTGGCCACCCGATACCAGGGAGAGCTCTTTCTCAGAGGGGTGCTGTCCTCCTCCTCCTCCTCCTCCTCCTCCTCCTCCTCCTCCTCCTCCTCCTCCTCCTCCTCCCACTCCTCCTTCTCCTCATCCTCCTTCCTCCTCCTCCCTCCTCGCTTCCTCCACCTCCTACCCTCGCTCTCACCTCCTCCTCCTCCTCCGCTCCACCTCCTCTCCTCCTCCTCATCCTCCTCCTCCTCCCTCCTCCTCCATCCACCTCCTCCCTCTCCTCACCTCCTCCCTCCTCCCTCCTCCTCCTCCTCCTCCTCCTCCT